GGCCGGGCCGGGCTGGGCTCTGCTGGGTGCCCCCCGTCACCGGGGGTGTCACAGGGCGGGGGGCACCCTCCTGTCCCCAGGGCTTTGGGGACAGGGAGCTCCTCCTGTCACCGGGTGTGTGACAGCACCGGGCAGCGCTCCCGTCTGAGGTGACCCTGCCCGGTGAGGTCCTGTTGTCGCCGGGTGTGTGACAGGACTGGGTGGGGCTCTGCTGTCACCAAAGTCCTCCTGTCACCGGGTGTGACACCGTGGGTGGGACCGTTCTGGCCCCGGCTGGCCGGCCCAGGGAGGGGACCTGGAGGGGACCCTCCTGCCACCTCCTTAATTCTCCACCCTGAAACCCACCCAGAGCCCCCCACTGTCCCTCCTTGGCTGATTCTCCCTCTTCCTCCTCGCTGATTTTAAATACTAAACCACCTTTTCTCCAAGCTGAAGCCGCCTCCAAGCACCCACATTAAATTCCAGGAGCAAATCCCACATCCTGGAGGATTTATTCCATCACATCAACAGCCTTAAAATCCCTCTGATCCTCGTGCTGGGGGGAGCCTGGGCTGATTTTGGGAAGGGCTGGCTCCAGGACGTGTCCCCAGCTGAGGGGACACCGTGAGGAGCAGCAGGTCCATCCCAACACGTCAGCAGCGCTGGATGGTGCCAGGGAGGAGCCAGGCCGTGATGGCACCACATCTGTCACTCTTTTCCTGCTCGGGAGCGATCCCGTCTGTGCGACGCCTCACGGCCGACCTTTGGCAGCTGCCGGAACAAATCCACCTGGATTTGCCCGTGCTGCCGTTCCCCGTGTCCCCCAGGGCCGGGGTGGATCCCCTGCGGGGGTTTTGGGGTGTCAGGAGCCCCTCCAGGGGCCTGGAGCTGCCGGGCTCAAATCCAGCTTTGTCCTGCCTGGACACGCTCTGGGTTTTCCTTCTCGGAATATTTTGTTTGCTTCAGGCCAAACTATCATCGTTCTCAGGAATAAAAATCCCATTCTGAAGGGAAGGCTGGTGAAGTTTAAACTGGTGGGAATCCAAACCAGTGACTCTGTGGGCACGAGCTCGCTCTGGAGGGGATGTGGGAGCCGCAGAAATGGGAGCTCCACCTGCCCCAGGGTGAAGCTGCCATCCCCTCTGTCCCCCTGCTTATTTCAGCCAAAATTAAAAGCCATCAATTAATTTATTTTTTTTTTGCTAAATATTGATGATGGTGAATGCAAGTCCAAAAGAGAAAGCAACCATTCTAGGTAGAATCCAGGCAGAATAGAGGATGGATTTTTAATTAATGAGTGTGGAGGTGATGGGAGCTTCACCTCTGTCTGTACCAGTGCTCAGGAAGTGTTTGGGTAATTTAGAATCAAGGGAAAAACTCATAAGTCTGCAGCCCATGGAAACTCCTTGGTAAAGGGCTGTGTGTGAAACATGCAGATTTATCCAGGGAAAAATTTAATGGAGAGACTGCACAGGAGCCAGAGGGCTGAGGCCTTCCATTGTGTCAGGAGAATCTCACTGGAGTGGGAAGTGTCTCTGCTGGGATAGAACATTTCTGGGAACGTGGGAGATATGGCTCTGATCTTGTCAGAAAGCCAGCAGAGCCACTGGAGCAGGATGATCCATCGGGAGAGGCTGCTGGAAAAGTGAAGGAGACCTCCAAGAGCATCTCCCACCGCTGTGGTGGTGACATCCCTCATTTTCCCTTTGCTGGCATCCCTGGTTTTCCCTTCAGTGACATCCCTTGTTTTTCCAGCACTCCCAGATGCTGTGGGGCCATCCCAGGAGACATCCAAACAGCCTGTGGGTTATTCCCACATTTATGTAACATTATTGGCACGTATCAACATTTCTCCCAAATTAGAGTGGAGCTTCCTGAGACCTCTGGAGGTTTTAGGAAGTGAGTAGGCAGCTCTTCCCTAAGCACCTGGAAACACAAACTGTGTGGCCTCCTGTGGAGGGAAAGTCAGTCGTGGCTTCTGTTTTCCACCTTTTTCCAGCTCCATGGGAATTGGGAGTTTCAGGGGGATTTTTCATGGGTTTAGTGTGTCAGTGGTGCCTCCTCCAGAGCTGCTCTGTGCTCACAGGGAGCTTTTTCCACGTTATGTTCCTGGCAGGTCGAGGGACAGGGATGAGCTCTTGATCACAATCTCAGCTCTAAAAGTTGAGTTTCTGGTTTCAACTCCCATTTTCTGGTTTTTCTGACCCCTTTATTGCCACTTACCCAGCAGTCTCTGTGTCTGCATCCTGCCATTCCCCATCCCTGGGTATGGAGCTCTGGAAGCCCCCTGGGTCTGCAGGTTTTCCAGGGAGCCTTTGCTAATTCCCACATGTTAATCCCAACTGTTAATCCCTAATCAGCCAGAGGAATTAATAACTTCTTCCTTCTTTTCCAGGTCGACGCACAATGAGATGGAAAAGAACAGGTGAGTGCCAGAGGGTTGTCAGGAGCTGGGCTGGGGGGAATTACTGCTTTCCCAGGGGTATTCCACCTGAGATGGGTTGAGAGGGAGAGTGGGAGGGAAGGAATGGGATAAAGGACATCAAGGGTTAAAGCATTCCCTTTTTACATGTGAGTTTTGTTGGGAATGATATCCCACCTCCACAGCCAGCTCCCACTCTGCTTCTTCAGGGAAATTACCTTTTCACATCTTTGAGCCAGTCGCAGTTTGGGATTTATCCCGAGTAAATCCCACTTTTTTTGCCTGTGTTGTCATCCCAAGGTCCTTTGGGTGAGGAAATCCCAGGTCACTCCCAGCATATCCCAAACAAGACCAGCAGGTCATTGCAAAATCCGTTTGGAGCTGCCTGGGATCAGGCGGTGCAGGGATGTGGTTGCAGCGCGTTCCCGAGGATCTGACCTACATGTTGGGATTGGAGTGATGGACACAGGGAAACCTGGGTGTGCTGGGAGCATCCCTGCTTTCGGCAGATAAAGGGATTTCCTCGAGGAGTTTCCCTCCAGCATTAATGTCCCACCTGTTAAAGCAGAGAAAAGCCAGATGTTCCAGGAAGAGGGAGGATTCCTGGAGCACGGCCAGTGCTCCTGCAGGGATTTGGGGTTTTGTATCCAAAACAGTCCTGTTCCTACTAAAAATAGGGAAAGGGAGCTCTCCCAAGGGATTTGGAGCTGGGTGTTATCCTGGGCAGCTTCAGCTGTCAGCAGGAACCAAACAGCACTCCTGAGGTGGAGCCTTTTGGGGAAGAGAATGACCAAAAGTTGATATTCTCAGCCAGAATTCTGAGGTCGTTGCCTGGGATCATCCCAACAGCCCGGGATGCCAGCAGGGTTCATCCATGAGGTTTTCCCAAGGCATCTTTTTGCCTGGCTGCAGTTTCCTCCCGGTTTCTGGAAGCCCATGGAGGCTGGGAGGTTGGGTTTAGCTCCTGCCACCCCATTTTTCCACAGCAGAGGGGTGGGAATGCCATTTGGGAAGCTGATGCAGCTGTGTGCTCCCGTTCCAGGCGTGCCCAGCTCCGGCTGTGCCTGGAGAGGCTGAAGGGGCTGGTGCCGCTGGGGGCTGCGGCCGGGCGGCACACGACGCTCAGCCTCCTCACCAGGGCCAGGCTCCACATCCAGGTGAGCCCAGAAATGGGATCTGGCACTGGGATCGGAGCTGAGAGCAGCATCCAGCACGGGGCATGGGCTGGGATTGGGCTGGGATAACTGGGAGAGCAGGAATCCATACAGCTCCACATCCCAAGCGTGCTGAAGACGGGAGCCCCTCGGGAGCCGGCGGTGGCTGTGCTGGGGTGGTTTGGCTGGGAATGCCGTGTGGTTCCAAGGGAATCCCAGAGCTCAGGGTGCTGGGAATGCTGTGTGGTTCTGAGGGAATCCCAGAGCTCAGGGTGCCGGGAATGCCGCATGGTTCCCATGGTTCTGAGGGAATCCCAGAGCTCAGGTGCCGTGTCCCCCACAGAAGCTGGAGGACCAGGAGCGCCGGGCGCTGCACCAGATCGAGCAGCTGCAGCGGGAGCAGCGGCACCTGCAGCGGCAGCTGGAGAAGCTGGGCATGGAGCGGGTCAGGATAGACAGCATCGGCTCCAGCCTTTCCTCCGAGCGCTCCGACTCGGATCGAGGTGAGAGCCCTCGCCGGGGCGCGGCCGGCGGGAGGCCTGGCCCCGTTGGAACGCCAACCGTTCCCATTCCTCCGGCAGAAGAGATGGATGTGGATGTGGAGAGCACGGACGACCTCCCCGCCGACCTGGACTGGAGCAGCAGCAGCCCCAGCGACTCGGACGAGCGCGGGAGCCTCCAGAGCCTGGGCAGCGACGAGGGATATTCCAGCTCCGGCGGGACCAGGGCCAGGCTGGCCGGCAGCCGTAAGCTTCCCGTCGGGATATAGGGAGCTGATCCCGCGGCCGCCGTCCCCTTGGGATCCCGTTAGCCAGCACACCGACCCTGCCAGCATTCCCCGCACGGAAATACCGAACATCCCACAGCTCCAGCCGCTCCCGGGGCTCCGTCTGCACCGCCAGCCTCTCTGGCCGAACCTTCTCTGCCAGGCCCGACATTCCAGCCACGCCTGAAGCGCCCGGGAATATCCTGGCAATAACAGCAACCTCAAGAGCCTTCCCCGGGCTCCTTCCCAGGCTGTCACTGCCCGCTATTCCCGATCTTCTCTCCGCTTGGGTGGCGACATCGTGTTCCTAATCCTCAGGACCGAAGAAGCTGAGCTTCTGGGAGCAGATCCGAAGAGAGAGCCGGTCCTTTGTGGAGTTTCCATCCGTGACAGAGCGGAGCCAGGCCGGGAACACAGAGCATTTTGGGCACAGGGATCAGCCTCAGTCGGGGGTTCCTTCCCCCGACTCTAAATATTCAGGGACACCCCATCCCAGCCCTCGTGTCGTCCCGGAGCGTTCCTGGCGTGGGGAGCAGCGCTCAGAGCCATCCTCACCCCTCGGGTTGGCCTCCTCCGGGCTGGGAAGTTTCTGCCCTCCCTAAACCCGAAAGGGATGTCCCACCTCCCTTCGTGGCGCGGCATTCCAGAGCCCTGGAATTCCTTTTCCACGCTTCTAGTCTCGGGGACAATTCTTTCTACCTCGGAGGGAGCCCACGGACTCTCTCCACCCCTTCAGCACAAAGATGATGCCTCTGCTCAGCAATAACCCCACGGGACTCCCCGGATCGTGTCCATCCCTCCGGGATTTCCCCAGGCTCGCGGAGGATTCCAGAAGCCACCACAGGGAGGGAAGCCCTGGGGTCAGGGGGGTTCTGAGCCAGGGCACCGTCAGCTGCCAGTGGTGTGGGTTCGTTTCCCGATGCACTGGAGGGAGCATTCCCTGCTCCTAGAGATGCTCTGGGAATGTTGACGTGCAGAGAGCTCTGCTTCCAGCACTTTCCTTTTCCCCTGGAGTGCTCCAAGGGCTTTTCCAGCCCCGTGGATCCGGCCAGGCCCTGGTGAGGAGTGGGCAAGGAGCTCTCCAGGGCTTTTCCCAGCTCTGGGAAAAGACAAACCCTGACCCTCTGCCAGTCCCTTTCAGGAATCGCCAGTGCTGAAAGGCATCGAGGTGCTCCATGGAGTGTGAGGGGATGAGCAGCAGGAGACTCCAGTGCTTTTTCTTTTCCTTTGTCCTTTCCCCTTTTCCTGTTTCCCTTTTCTCCTTCTCCTCCTTTCCTGCTTTTCCTTTCCTTTTCTCCTTTACTGTTCCCCTTTCCCCTTTTCCTTTCAACACCCCAATCCCATTCCTGGCTCACTTAGGGCAGTGGGAAGCCACCCACAGACCCCACAAGTTGCCCAAATCCCCCAGATTCTTTTTCCATTTGCTGTCTCCTAAGAGAAGAAAAAAAAAACCCAAACCACAAGGAATTTTCCTTTCAAGCTGCTGGAATTTTCCACCCTCTGGCATTGCCACAGACCAGGGGTACCTGAGCTCAACCCCCTGCGTGGTCAAAAAGAGGGAAAAAAAGGCAAAAAGATGGAAAACACTGAGGAAAAGAGGAATATCAGCCCGTGGGGGCCGGTGCCTCAGGTGGCTTCTGCCTTCACCTGGGGAATCCCAGCGGAACCCTCGGGCAGGTGATTCCCAGCACTGGGAAGGCCCTTCCAGAGGTACAAAGCGTTGAGTTTTGCTTGGTTTTGAACATCCTGGAGGTTTGGCCTCAGCACAAATGAGGGGTTTTGGCAGCTTTGTGCCTTTTTGAGTTCCCAATGCCTTTTTTTTCCCCTTTTTTCCCTTCCTATCCCAGACTGACCCCTTTGCAGTGTCGGGCTGTGCTCCGGGAACCCCAGAACTCTGCACTAACCCGGAATCCCCGGGTCCCCAGTGGTGGTGCCAGCCTTACCTGGAATTCACTGATCCACCAGCATTCCTATCAAATAAGCTGCAGGAAGGACTTTTTTATAGGTTGTGACAAAAATCCAGGGAGTGCGGGGAGTCGGATTGGGGCAGGGACGGGTGGGAATCAAAAATCCCCAATTTTGGGCTGTTTTTCCTTTCTTTTTCCTTTTGGAAGGCAGATCCCGAACCACCAGCTCCCGGGAAGCACCAAAATGTTCCACCCTGAATTTTTCCAGTGGAGCCATCCCATCTCCACTCAACCTTTCCTTTATCATTCTTTGGTACAACTCTTTTTTGTGCTTTTCCATCATTTCTTTCTGTCCTTTTTGCTTCCCAAGAAGTGGATCCACCCCAGCCTTGGCTCCGCTGGGCAGTTGGGAGCGGACTCGGATCCCATTTCCAGCCGTTCCTGCTGTAAATATCCCATTGTTGGGCTGATCCCCGTGTCAAGCCAATAGAATGGTGCTTTTTTTTAGGAATTCCATGTTTTAGGAGATCTTTGCTGTGTCCATGGATATTTCTGTCTTGTTTGATTGTTAGGAAATAAATTATTTCGTTATGAAAGAGAGGCAGGAGCTGGAATTGGGGAGAGAGCAGGAAGGGGATGGTGGGGCTGGAGATCCACGTTCCTGCGGGGACCTGTGGAGGGTGAGGAGGTCCCCCCTGGGCTGGGGCTTTGTCCCTTGTCCTGTCCCTGGGCTGGGGCTTTGTCCCTTGTGCTGTCCCTGGGCTGTGTCCCCAGAGCTGCCCCAGGGGACACTGGAGCTCTGGGAAGTGCAGGGTGGCACCGGAGCCTGGGACACACGGGGTGTGGCACGGGGATTTGGGGCACACAGGGTGGCACACATGGTGGCACACACAGTGACACACACGGGGGCACATGGTGGCACACACGGTGACACACACGGGGGCACACTTGGGGGCACACACGGTGACACACAGAGTGACACACATGGTGACACAGTGACACACAGGGTGGCACATGGTGGCACAGGAGGATTTGGGGCACACACGGTGGCACACACGGTGGCACAGAAGGATGTGGAACGCTCAGGGGGACGAGGACGGGGCAGCCCAGGGTGGCACAGGGTGACAGAGGGCGCGGTGTGGGGCTGTGCCACCCTGGGAGCCACCGCAGAGCCTCAGCTGGGGCCCGTGGGG